TCTCGCTCCGGTTCCCTCCAACTATCCCGAGCCTCAACCGCTCACCGTAGCCGCTTCCGCATCTCATATCCGTTCTTGCAATAATTTCATCGGCATACTCCGCGGGTGAATCCAGAACTACACATGGCCTGATTCCTGTAAAACCAGGGATATGTAGGCAACTCGAAAACCGGAGTCGGCCTCTGTCTTTCAAAACATCCCGTCCGGTCAAAATTGGCCATCATTTCTTTACCCAAAAACTCTTTCATCCTTCCCGGGTAAAGAGGGGCAGCTGTTGATACCCAATTTTTCCCTATATATTTTAAATATGCATAAATACCTTCAAAATATCATATACATGCATATATAAGCATGCACAAGATTTTTATAATTTTTCCCATAATTTTAAGTATTTAAATTGATTTATTTCCTTCCCTTTTATTCATAAAATCTCCAATAATTATTTCCCAAATTATTATATGATGATTTATTTATTTAATTTCTATACTTATGCCAAAATATGGTTGATATATTTTTTATGCATTTTTATAACCGCATTTGGTATTTTTTTAAACTAAATTGCATATAATTGCAATGTTAGCCCATTTAATGGATAATAAAATTTTCATATGCGTAAAATTGGTTCATATATTTTTAAAATAGTAAATATATATTTTAAATCATTTTGGCACACAAAATTATTTTCAGAAAACTATTTATTATTTACTATAAATTAAAATAAGGAAAATTGGCTATTTAAATTATAGCCAGTTTTGGCTTTCAATTGTAGCCTAAATTGAACCCAACCCCGGCCCAACTTCCTACCAAATTACCCGACCCAACCCTATATACACTTACCCAAACCCGGAACCCATCTACCCGATCAAATCCCGGCCGCTGATCTCCTAGATCAACGGTCCATACCCATTCTTTCCTTTTTTAATCCCTAACACCCCCTAACCCTAGTCATTCCTTACAGCCTGCCACCCTCAGATGCTCCCATCTCCTCTCTTCTCTCGACCTAACCTAAATCCTTTTCAACCGCCTCCCTTCTCCGGTCTTCTCCGCTTCAACCCCAAGCCTCCAATGGCTCCTCCATTGACTTGCTCATCTTCTCTGAGGCCTTCAAGGGCCCTGGGCCACGCCGACTTGTATCTAGGGTTGCTGTTTTGGCTGTTCATGGCTTCTCCGGGTGATTTTGAGCCAAATCACACTATATTTGCTGCGATCTTCGAAGTTTTAAGCAGGTTCTTCCATCTCTATTTGGGTTTCTTTTGAAACCCTAATTTTCGTTTGTATCTCTTAGATCTGGGCTATTTTTAACCGATTCGAGTCTATTCCTTCTATGTTTTACACTGTTCTTGAACCGCTTTGGCAAAAATCATCGATTTCAAGTTGTTTTACTTCTTTTTAAAATTAGGATTTTTCGGAACTTCTTCTACACTTTGTTTAAATCGATTCTTCATGTTTTAACCTCTATCCTTTGCATATCTTGACAGATTCTGTGTTTCTACTCCTTTTTCAACTCGTCTATGTTGAAAACCCTAGTTCTTGGTCTTAACCCCGGGTTCTGAGTCTGTATTTGATGATTTGTTTGTTTAATCTATATGCTTGCTTGTTTCTCGTGAATCTCTGAGTTTTTCTGTGATTTTACCCTACAATGCTCATTAGGGTTTCTAATTTTTTTTTGTTTTTGCTTCTTCCGCCTATACTATGTATGTTCTGTTAAACTCCTCTAATCAGTACTATGTTCCATGCGAATCCCTAATTTTGTGTGATTTTTACCCTACTGTGCTATTAGGGTTTCTGATTTTTGCCTCCTCTTGCCTATTGTGTGTTTATTCCGTTTGTTCATAGAAATTTATGGTAATGCCCCCCTAAATTAGTACTGTTGTCCATCGGAATCCTTGATTCCCTGTGATTGATATCCTTCTAATCTCTTATAATATTCTCTACTGATTTTCAACTTCTAAGTTATTTTTCTTGCCTTATTTTATGGTCAACTATGTTGTCAACTGACTCTTATGTTATTTCCTTAATTGGAATATTATGTACTTAGCCTTAATTACATGTTCTATACTTGCACTATGCTGAAATTATTTCCTTATGTGTTATATTCCAGTCTTATGTGATCTCTTTCCTTATTTGTCTTTACCGTTTGAAATTAACTCCCTTAATTAAGGGAGTACTTCTACTAATTTTATTCTAATTGATACCTAGTTTCATAATTACTGCTTGACTTTGATTCTTACCTTATTATTCTACCTAGTTTCAAACTATATATATGCTCTCTCATTAACACACACAGACACGAACACTTGATTCAAAACTATCTCTCATACTTAAAAATTTCTGCTCTCTCTCTTGTGCTACTTGCTACTGCTCTAAGTTAGCCAGCTGCAAGCGAAGGCTAACCATTTGTGCTCTCTTGTTCTTTCATTCTGCTCACTATCCTCTTTACTAGTATGTCCTAGTTTCAATTCAAAGTTCCAACAACAATATGATTCTTTTATTGTTTCAGTTCATCTTGTTTCTAGTTTGCTTCTATTTGTGGTTTTGTTGTGAAACTTGTAGTTGAGGGTATACACCAATCATCTCTTACTTGTTATGTGTTTACCACCATGAATCCCCCAAATCCCTATCCCCCTGCATGTGTGTCTGTTCTTTATGTCTGATTTTATGACTATGTCCAGTTAGCTGCTTCTGGGCATGACTATACGAATTCCCAGGTCTTTTCTTAATTATGTGTCCTATGTATCCCAAACCCCTTGACCCCTGTGTGTTCCTATTGAGTTTATTTGGTTCTGTCAATTGTCTATGTATGAACCTATCCTAAGATGTTTGGACTTCTGTTCATTCCTTCAATCTCTTTTCAAACAGTCTCTATTGCTTTACTAAATTACTTTCAAACAGACTTTCGTTTTAATACAATTTCCTACTAAAACCTTTCAACTTGTGTCCTTCACTTCTAACTCTACTCTTAGTCAATAAATTCTGCCCCCTCCAGTATGTGTACTGCCTTGGGATCCTCTTGAGAACCCTCTGAACTCTGGCATACTGAGGCCGGCCTTTCCACACTGCACTTGTTCAATTTTTGGTTACTAAGTCTAGGTGTAAGCACTGCCCGGGATCCTTGAGATCCTTAGGGAACTTTGATGCACCTAGACTCTGACTTTGTCTATGGAATTGAGGCATATGAGGCAATTGGAGGCTTTGGGAAATCTGGGCCTACTCGGAGGCTCCCTATAGAATAGCTTCTTGTTTTTTTTTATTTACTTATTTAATTCATTCATTGGTCTGTAATAACTTGTAAGCAGATATTGGGGTATTTAGTGAAAGGGGTGGGTAGATACATGTTTTATGGGGTAATTCGGGTAGAAATCATGCTCATAGGACTTTACTTTTAAATCTGTTTGCTCTACTAAGTAGAAATCATGATCCTAGGACTTCATGTTTAAATCCGATTATTTTTCCAATAGAAATCATGCTCCTAGGCCTTCATGCTTAAATTCGATTGCCTCACAAAGTAGAAATCATGTTTATAAGGTTTTACATTCTGTCATGTTTAGAAACCATGCCTATAGGTTTTAAATAATCATGCCTTCAATCAGATTAACTAATAGATGCCATGCCTATAGAAATTAATCCAAATTATGTTATGGCAAGTGTTTATGTATGCATGTCTTAAAATCAGATTAACAAACGTAGATATCATGCCTATAGGGAACCATATTTGAAATTCTGCCCGCCAATCCAATTAGTCTAAATAAATCAACTTAGTCCACGCCTAGTTCATTTCTGAATTGGTTTTATTAAGTATTTCATATTTCCTGAAACAAGTTCTTTCAAACTGCCTCAATCTCATTAGATATCATGTCTATAGGTATTAAAGAAGTCCGTTTCAAAACCTGATTTGTTTCTATACAAATGTGCTAATCAGTACTCCGCGTATAGGCAAGCCCTTAGGGCGTTTTCAAAACTGCATCTCTGAAACTATTTCTATTGCTTAATGTTTTCTGATCCTAACAGGCTTTAAAAAATCTATAGGCGACTGCTAGGGTTATAACTTCGGAGTCTAAAAGAGGCTGTTTGTCTTCTACATATTCACCTAGATATCCTGCCTTAAGACATTGTCTAATAAAAGACCTTAACTGTGCTTGAGTCGTGCTGCTTATGTGTTTGTTTGAGGAGGAAACTCTGAGCCTTTAATTGCCCCTCTTATGTAATGAAAGTCCTAAGTGTTTTGATTGTCGCCTTAGAATTTTCACCTTTTTAAACCTTAGGGGTACGTCTAGAACCACCTATAGGTAGAGGTCCTAACTCCCTCCAGGACCATTAAGAAGGGACGGGTAGCAGCACGCAATAGAAATCGTTGACCAAACACTCGCTTTGCATGACCAATAAGGGGATGGGAAGGGTAGATATGTGATATGATGACTGCGCGCTAATGTCACGTGTAGCCCCTCATTGAGGAGTGTTTACCAGACATTGTGTGGGGTGATCCTATAGGACAACCAGCCTAGGACCCCTCCTTTACCAAATTTCCCTTTTTATTCAAAACCTTTGTTTTACAATTTGTCTAAATCTTATTACTTGAGTTATCTAACGTGCTTTACTTGCAACCTATTTGATTCAACTGTTTACTTGTAATGGACTAATTTGTGAATATAAGTTTGGACGGGACCCACAGTTGTGGACCAAGAGGGGTGGCTAACACCTTCCCCTCGAGGTTACTTCGAGCCCTTACCCTAGTCTCTGATAATACAAACCCAAGAGTTAATCACTCTAGGTGCCCTAACGCACCATAATCCGTTAGGTGGCGACTCTCCAAATACCCAATTCCCAAAAGGAAATGAGTTATCACCCCCATGAATGTTGAAACCCGGACTTCCCCGTCAAAAGCGAGGAAAAAAGGGGGCGCGACAAGTAACTGCTTCTCAAACTTCTGGAAATACTCCAAAGGGAGCGAGCTTCGAAGCTCCTTTTCCTGAACAGAGCGCCTCGGCTGATCTCCCCGAGCCATGACAGCAGGTCATTCCTCGTCATTTCCAGCCTTCTCCGAGAAAGCCATTAGGGATGCTCTGAACTTGAAGACGTCCGAGCTAGGCGGAGTCCCGAGTGAAAACGACCCCTTCCAGGTTTGCTTTGCTGGGGTCGATGAGGCCGACCCAGCGGATGCGAGCTCAATCTTCGAGGAGGCTCAACGTCTTTGCTCAATTGTAAGTTTTTTTGTGGTACTACAATTTCTCCAATGCCATACTTTTATTCTTTTGTCTAATCGATCATCCCTTTCCTTTCTGTAGGCCTTCGACAAATTGAAGACCGAATTGCGTCATTGTGAAGCCGAGTTGCATAGAGCTTCGAATGAGGAGAAAACCCTTAGGCTTCTCCTTGACAAAAAGGAGGAAGAACTGAAGCATCTTCGATCGGTGTTGACCAAAGCTCGTGAATACAAGAGTGATTTAGAAAATAAGGTAACCTCTGTTTTGAAAAAATACGGGCTACCTTTCCCGTGTTCGGAGGCTAATACTTCAATATCTCAGCTGTAGCAAAAGCTAGATATGATTGGGCAGCTCTGGGGCAAGGTAGATCAAGTTCGAGCCGAGTGCAATGAATGGAAGGCGAAGATGGACACCCTCGTTGTGACTAAAAATGATGCACAGGCGAAGGTATCCGCCCTCGAGGTTTAACTTCGAAATGCTCAAGGGAGAAACTTGGTTCAGGCTGGCAGAATAGCCGAGCTCGAGGTTGGTCTTGCAAAGGCCAAGGCCGAAGTTGTGGAAGTCCAGGCCGAAGCCAGAGAAATACAAGCCAAGTCCGACAAGACGGTGGACATCTATTTGAAGGATGCTACCGATGCTCAGATGGAGTTGAGGGGAGCTTCCGACCGAGAGAAAAGAAGCAATGACTATGCCCGACGCCGATCCCGGAGGGAGACCCTCGAAGAGGTCCATGCTAAGGGCTTCGATCTTTCCGAGGAGATAAAGCAAGCTAAGGCAGATGAGGCTGATGCCAAATTTGTCCTTTCCTCCAACGATGATGATGACGTCGAAGATGATGAAGAGGAGGAGGTTGCCGAAGAAGCTACCCCCGGGGAAGAGGCTGGTCCCATGGGAGTGACAGGTCCGGGGGGAATGCCCCTCTGGTGTAGGTAGAATTTTTTCTTTCTTTTTGTAATTTTTTGCTTTGCAGGACTCCTGTGTAATATATTTTTGTATATTTTTGATTCAAATTCGGGGTATAGTAGACACTCAAGTTTTTTGTTTTGATCAACGATCGGTAATAGGTTACCACTTAAGGTTCGATCTTCGAGCTAAGTTTTAGCTCGGGACTTTTGAGTTCGAGCTGGGTAAGGTCTCGAGCATGGTGTGCTTCGGCCTTTATGCTCTTTAAATATTGGCCCTTAAGATCTTTTAGGTTGGCCCTTAGGCTCTTTTGGGTTGTCCCTTAGGCTCTTTAGGTAAGGCCAATTTGGCCTCTAAAATGGCTATAAATTTTTCCCTCTTTCTGGCTAAAGACTTAGTGAAAATTTTGGTATGCCTTAGCATGTATATTTTGTATTCATATTCGTTCGATTTTTTTAAAGGTTCGATTGATTGGAACCTCGTTTGTAATTTGATATGCAACGTTAATCGAATACCTCTTGAGGTTTTTTCGAAGGCTGATGTTATCGAAGCCTTCGCATTATTCGAGGGTTGATTTTATAGAAGCCCCTTATAATTTGCTTTTGCTGAGGGTAGCCTGATTTAACCGATTTTTTTGAAGTATATGAAGGCCTTTTAGTTTTATGGCGGAAGTCGGACATCTCCGAGCCGCATTATTTCGGTCGTAGCCTTTTCATATGACCATAGTCCTTTATATGGCCGTAGCCTTTAGTCCCCGAGTGTGATGGCCTTGGCCTTAATATCGAGGGGATGCCTGTTTGAGGTCTTGTGAGCTCGAGTGTGCCTCTTTGAGGTCTTATAAGTTCGAGTGTGCCTCTTTGAGGTCATATATGTTTGAGTGTGCCTCTTTGAGGTCTTATAAGTTCGAGTGTTCGATGACTCGATGTGTCGATTGTCGATGACAGTCCCCGAGTATTCGGGTGCATTCGGGGTTTTGGACCTTGAGCCGTCAAATGTGAAAATAGTAGACTTCTTTGAGGTACAAAGTGTTTGGATAGAATAAGATTGCTTCTTCAAATAATTGATACATGCATACATGTTTTGCCGCTGGGGGCTCGGCTATTCTACATGGACACGGTTAATTTGACCATTTGGCCCATTAAAATATTCCCCTATCGAGGCGCTCCTTGGCATGAATTGCTTTCTTCGAGAATGCATCCTCCGAGGGTGATGCCCCCCAGTGTTCGAGGTTGATTGAAAAGAAGCCTTGGATACTTGTTGAATATTCCTTAGGCAGCATATAGGTGTTGCCTTGTTAAAAACCTTGCTGGTAAAACCCATTTGGGATAAAACCCGATCTAAGGGAAAAAGAGTGCAACGCATTCTTTAAACCCAAGGTCTTCGAGCTGAAACGTGCCTCGATGTTTCCAATCGAACATCTGCAAGGAGTTAGTTTTAAATACAAATGGAAAAGGGGAGAAGGTCATACCTCAGCAGTAATAGCGTTTGAGCAACGATACATTCCAATTGTTTGGTAGTTGCTCGCCTTCCATTGTACTAAGTTTGTAGGTTCCTTTCCCTACGACTCCGAGGACACAGTACGGTCCTTCCCAATTGGGGCCTAGTTTCCCTTCGTTTAGGTCTCGAGTGTTGATAGTGACTTTCCTTAGGACTAAGTCCTCGACTCCGAAAAATTGAAGGTTCGTCCTTCTGTTGTAATACCTTTCGATCCTTTGTTTTTGCGCGTCCATTCGAATTAATGCGGCCTCACATTTTTAGTCTAGTATTTCGAGGGAAGTGTTCATAGCTTCGTGATTTAAGTCCTTGGTGGCATGCTGAAACCTGACGCTAGGTTCCCCGACTTTGACTGGATCAATGCTTCGGACCCGTATACCAAAGAATACGGGGTCTCCCCCGTGCTCGACTTTGACGTCGTTCGATATGCCTATAGCACCTCGGGCAATACTTCTTTCCATTTCCCCTTTGCCTCATCTAACCTTTTCTTTAAGTTTCGAATGATGGTTTTGTTTGTGGACTCGGCCTGACCATTTGCACTTGGGTGGTAAGGCACTGATAGAATCCTTTTGATTTTATGGTCCTCGAGGAATTTGGTCACTTTGCTGCCGGTGAATTGTTTCCCATTGTCACATACTATTTCGGTAGGTATCCCGAACCGACATATGATGTGGTCCCATATGAAGTCGATGACTTCTTTTTCTCTTATCTTCTCGAAAGCCTGTGCTTCTACCCATTTTGTGAAGTAGTCAGTCATAAACAAAATAAATTTAGCTTTACTTGGCGTCGTTGGTAGGGGTGCTGACGATGTCCATCCCCCATTTCATGAATGGCCACGGGGATAGGACCGAATGGTGTTGTTCACCGGGTTGATGGATCATCGGCGCAAATCTTTGGCATTTATCACACCTTCGAACGAACTCCTTGGTATCCTTTTCCATGCTATCCCAATAATTCCCTGCTCTGATAACCTTGCGAACCAAAGAGTCGGCACCAGAATGGTTCCCACAAGTGCCCTCGTGGATTTCTCGTAATACATAATAGGTGTCCCCGGGTCCCAAGCACACTGCCAGTGGTCCATCGAAGGTTCTTCTATACAACGTTCCATTTTCATCAAGTGAGAATCGAGTTGCTTTGGCTCGAAGTGTTCTGGACTCTTTTGGGTCCGTGGGGAGCTTCCCATGCTTCAAGTAGTCGATGTACTTATTCCTCCAATCCCACGTTAAACTTGTTGAATTAACTTCTGCATGGCCTTCTTCGACCACCGACCTCGATAGTTGGACGACAGTCCCCGGGACAATATCATCTTCTTCAATCGATGACCCCAAGTTTGCAAGTGCATCAGCCTCGCTATTCTATTCTCGAGGTATATGGTCCAGTGTCCATTCCTTGAAGCGGTGCAATGTCACTTGAAGTTTGTCTAAGTACCTTTGCATTTGATCGACTCGAACCTCAAAGCTCCCGTTTACTTGATTAACCACCAAAAGGGAGTCACACTTTGCCTCGATGACCTCTGCTCCAAGGCCCTTGTCTAGTTCGAGACCTGCCATCATGGCCTCGTACTCGGCCTCATTGTTAGTCAATTTAGAAGTTTTGATAGATTGCCTAATGACACTGCCCGTAGGCGGTTTTAAAACGATGTCGGGCCCGGATCCTTTCACATTCAAGGCACTGTTTGTGAAGAGGGTCCATACCCCCGATGACGTACCCATTTTTAGCAAGAGTTCCTTTTCTACTTCGGGTACGAGGGTAGGCGCGAAATCGGCCACAAAATCTGCCAAAATTTGAGACTTGATAGCTGTCCGAGGCTGATATTCGATATCATACCCTCCAAGTTCGATGGCCCACTTGGCCAATCTGCCCGATAACTCGGGCTTATGCAAGACACTTCGAAGTGGGTACGTAGCCAATACACATATAGGATGGCATTGAAAATATGGTTTTAATTTCCTAGATGCGCTTATTAATGCAAGAGCTAACTTTTCCAAATGTGGGTACCTGGTTTTAGCATCTCCTAGGGTCCGACTCACATAATAGACAGGAAATTGCGTACCTTGCTCTTCTCGAACCAACACGCCACTTACCGCCACCTCGGAAACGGCTAAATACAAGTAGAGTTTTCATCCTCCTTCGGAGTATGGAGCAGGGGTGGGCTCGAGAGATACCGTTTTAATTCTTCCAAGGCTTGTTGGCACTCCGGAGTCCATGCGAAGTTGTTCTTCTTCTTGAGTAGGGAAAAGAAATGATGGCTCCCATTTGATGACCTCGAGATAAATCGGCCTAGGGCATCTATCCGTCCGTTCAGCCGTTGTAGGCTTTCACATTGTTCACTACGGTGATTTCCTCGATGGCTTTGATTTTATCGGGGTTGATCTCGATACCCCTGTTCGACACCATAAAGCCCAAGAACTTGCCCGAGCTGACTCCAAAAGCGCATTTCTCGGGGTTGAGCTTCATGTTGTACTTTCTTAGGATATCTAACGTCACCTGCAAATGGGTCAAATGGTCCTCCGCGCGCAGGGACTTAACTAGCATGTCATCAATATAAACATCCATGGATTTGGCTATTTGATGTTCGAACATCTTATTAACTAGGCGTTGATATGTGGCTCCTGCATTTTTTAGCCCGAAGGGCATTACATTATAACAATACGTACCATACTTCGTGATGAACGAAGTCTTTTCCTGGTCCTCCGGGTTCATTTGAATTTGGTTGTACCCGGAGTAGGCATCGAGAAAAGTAAGGATCTCGTGGCCGGTCGTAGCATCGATCAAACGATCGATGTTGGGCAATGGGAAAGAATCTTTAGGGTATGCTTTGTTGTAGTCTACACACATTCTAAGCTTATTCCCCTTTCAGGGACTACCACTACGTTAGCTAGCCATTCGGGATACTTTACTTCCCCAATGGATCCTATCTTGAGAAGTTTGGTTACCTCTTCTTTGATGAATGCATGCTTTACCTCGGACTGAGGTCTCCTCTTTTTGCTTCACCGGTTTAAATCTGGGATCGACACTTAGTCGATGGGTAGTTATCTCCAGTGGGATCCCTGTCATATCTAAGTGGGATCAGGCGAAGCAATCAATGTTATTGATATGAAATTGAATGCGTTTTTTCCTGAGTTCGGGGGTTAACCCCGTCCCCAGGTATACCTTTCGTTCTGGAAGATGCTCGATCAATACAGCCTGCTCGAGTTCTTCGACCGTGGACTTCGTCGCATCCGATTCCTCGGGGGCAATGAAGGCTCGGGGGATGAGAAAATCTTCTTCCTCGTCCTCGACCACTTGTTCATCGATCACCTGTCCCTCGGGCTCAACCGAGGGTATGGGATGTGATTGCTATTTGGCCACATGTTTGTCCTTTGACTTTTTCGATGTGGATGGTGTCGATATCGGTGCCAAGTCGTGTACTGCAAACATCTCCTTAGCTACATGTTGTTCTCCATATATTGTTTTCACGCCATCCTTTGTTGGGAACTTCATCATTTGATGAAGGGTCGATCGCACCGCCCTCATGCTATGGATCCACGGCCTTC